ATTTTGTACTATGTGGCAAAATTTAACAAAACAGACTTTGGTTTTTCAGGTTCTTTTCTTCTTCTCTATTCTAAAGACTGAAACAAAATGATTGATTATGAAGTTGAAGCCCAATCGACGTCAATTGTTTCATCCAATGTATATAGATCGAAAATGACAAAAATTTACCAACTGACTTGTGGCCAGGAAACGAGTCATTTAAAAAAAGTTTATCATTTCCTTTAATTTAGTTTATTTGTAATAATTATGTACAAAAATACCAAACTTTAAATGCAGTGATGCGCATGCTTTGACAGTGATGTATATCATAGGTTTCCAGTTGTTATCTTGAATTGTGTTGTGATCACCAATTTGCGTACTGAGGATCGTAATTTTGTGTAAGTCATACACCTTCAAGTTTCATTAAACCTGAAATTTGTTTCACTGGTCTCAGTGTATCTTGCTGACAGCGGGAATCAGCGATATACTGTTTCGAGTAAAATAACATGCATTCGCTTCACAGAACATGAAATTCCTGCGGTCTTGTGGGTTTACTGCTGGTACAGACAGCGAGGATATAGTCACTCTTGTCTACGACTCCACGTCATCTATCAACTTTACCATTAGTTTCGGGTGTCATGTAAGCACTGAAGTGGTATTTCAAAAAGCAAAATGGTGGTGAATTTGGTCACGTGAAGTGATCATCTCTCTGATAACACTGTCATTCCAACGTTTGGTTCGAAAATCTGCCACTGAAAAGCGTTTAACAAGTTTTTTGACTGCAGTTCTAAAATTCTAGCTAATAAATAAAAACGAACGATCGCATCGAAGCAGACGATGATACTAGGAGTTGACTTGAGACACATGCAGTATTGTGGAGTGTGAATTAGAATCCGAAAGAGAAAATAAAAAAGAAAAAAATACCCAGTCACTTAGCCAGCTCATAGAATGCATTTTCATTTACAGCAAAAGTGCATGGCAAGTAAAATGTCACAAGGACCCAGCCAAATAGTTAATCAAGGTCATTGAATAGAGGTTTTTGATCATTATTAAGATCAGTGAGGAACATTGAACATCACTCAATTTCGTTCCATGAAGGTTCGACCTCGTTCTGCCGTAACACGTGGTATCAGCATGTATGCTTTCCATCTGAAAGTATTTATTCTAGCCCATATTTGGGAAATAGAATCACACGGTTGTTACAATAACAATAAACAGGTCAAGGGGTAACCGTTAAGCGTAACTTTGATGTAAGCTTGGAGGTCACAACAACCAATGTTCCACACAGATCAGCATTTTTGTTGATCTACAAAGCGATCGACAATTGGAAATAATTGTAATATTTGAATTCACGAGTTGATCCAAGGTAGATCACCATTGAAAATCTGGAAGTACTTGCATAGGAACTCTCAGCGTTGCTCATCAACGATTACTCACGTGTGACTCGAGCGCACTGTCAACTTGATAAAAGTATGCATTGCGGTTTAGAATACGAAAGTCCGAAATGTGAGATATTCAATCAATAATGAGTAACGCATTTGAAATCTCACGCTACGGTTTTCGAGTGAATATATGCTAAACATTGTTTGCAGTCCTAATTTCAAATTACAAATGTCAGATTCTCTGAATCTCACACTCGTTACTTATAATTGCTGTCGACTGCCTTTTTATTTAATAAAAGTTCATCATATTTCTTTACTCAGTTGTCTGCTCACTCTCCCTTTTTTAAAAGTTCAGTCACACTTCCCGCATTTCTTCCTCCTGTTTCGTGGTCAGTGAGAAAACAACATTGTTATAGGATTTAATTTGTCATACAGATGGTACACTAGAACTGTTAACATGATATCGGCAACCCCAAAGTATGCGAAAGCTATAGTCAGGACAAGGACAACTTGGCTCTAATCTTCATCCGTTCCTAAACGTTAAAATAACATTTTGATCAGTACAATAATTAAAGGGGTTATAGTTACTAAGTGGAACGCACAAACGTACTAACCAGTATCATGTGTCTTATCGAAATAAATAGAAATTTTGTGTCACGCTAATATGATAGGATCATGTCCTTGAATTGGCAGGTCACATCAATAGGGTTAGTCTACAGACACATTAGACCAGATTGACGTAATGGGAGCTTAAGCAACTATTTGATTGGCTAGCAATGGAAATAAATAACAATTGTTTTCCTGAACATATGTGTCTGTGAAATAATTCGCAGCCTTCCGTATTAAGAATAGGAGTTCAGTCAAACTTCTTTAGTCCTTGCAATTTGTCGTACTGTGAAGATCATGTCTCTTTAAATGTACGAACAGGTGCTCATATCATGTGTTCTGGTAGGGAATTCCTGCAATTCACTGCTCGGCGCGAGAAACGGGGCTCCAGACGTAGATGCCTCTGTCTAAATCTTTGAAATTTATTCTCAGATGATCAATACGAGGTGGAAGGGAAGATAACTAATTAATGCCAAGATCATCGATTAGTATACGGTAAGCCAGTATGAGATCACGTAAACTACGGTAAGATAATGAGAGTAGGTTGAGGCTTCTCAGTCTGACTTCGTAAGATAAGTCAAAGAAAACTTCTATCATTTTGACCCCTAGCCGTTGCACTTATTCCAACATATTCACCTCATACTTGGATCAAAGACTTGCTTCCTGAATCTCGTATTCCAAAGGCGATCCTCGAAATGGGGGATAGTGTCCCAAACATTGCGTTCAAGTAATAATGATAGCACGTAGGACCCTGAAACATTTGACTACTGTGGCGTCCCAGTTACTCGGAATCTTGAGGTCATTGCTCGTTATGACCCCTAGATCTTTAGGTAACTTTCATTTATTGTGTAGTGGTATGAATCGTCATAATTATTTATTTGTATCATCACTTTTGTTAAAGCTAACTTCTAATGATCACTCATCTATCCACTCAACAAGTGGATTGAGGTCATTCTGTAAGATTATTCTGACATACTGCATATTGGTCTACAAATCCTGATGTCTGCGATTTGTAGTACAGATAACTTTGCAGTAGTTGGCAAGTCATTATCATGAAGTAAAAAAAGAAAGGGACCGGGAATTGTACCATCTTACAGATTTCCACGTTATTGGAGCCTCGTTTAACCGTACCCGTTGTCTCCTGTCACTTATCCCGTTTATGAATTCTTAATAGATATCAAAGCCCTGGTGAGAGACCTGGCCAAAGGCTTTACTTAGATCTATAACAATTGCGTCTACTGGAATATTTCTCTTGTAATGAACAGATTTGTCAAACAAGATAGGTCATTCTTAAAACCATGATATTCCCTACATAGATTTTTCTCTTCTACATAATCTAAAATAATCATCCGAATAATTTCTTTCATTAGTTTGACAGTAACACTGGATAGACTAACGGGTCAATAGTTACCAAGTCTCTCCTCGCTTTATGAACGGGACTAATTATTACGTTCTTCCGGTCTGCTGAAAGTTCGTGATGCTGCAAAGACGTATTAAACAGTATCGCCAGAGGTCCTGCAATTACATATTTCAGGGCTTTCATTATCCTATGATGACTGTCGTCAGGACTGCTGGGATTATTTGGTTTGAGATGTCAAATTAATCGCAAGATAGTTCCTTTCTCAATAACTACAGTCTCCATCGACAGGCCTCCATTATAACTTATTATTGGTCTTTCACCAATTTCGGTAGGAAAAATACTAAAATATTCTGATAAAGTTCAGCTTTTGTAATATCATTTCTTGTCAATTTCAACGGAATTTTCGAACCACAAGCAGTAGGATTTCATCACTTATGTGAGGTTGCCCGTTTTTGTATAAGAACAACATTTCCGGACTGTTTTCACAAACCCTAAACAATTTTTTCTCATATACATGTCTAGCTTTATCGGCGCTTTGTAAGGGTTCGTAGTCTCGGCACACGAGAGCAAGTTGGTTACATTCAAATCCATCCTACACCTCGTAGTCTCATAGTAAGTGGATCTGTATTAATCAGAGCCTGCAAAAATAAACATACTTCTATGCCTTTTCCAAATCCTAGGAACTTTCTTGACCTGTTTAGTTATCCATAATGAATAGTTATTTAGTTTACTTGGTACTAAGCATGGTACAAAATGGGCGTAACTAAGCTGAGGGTACCTATAAATATGGCCATGCTTCTTCAGTTGATGTGCTAGTACTTGCTAACCAGTCCGTTGTTCAGCTTACTACTGAACTGCCAATATTTCACGATAAAAATGTAGTACTTTCGTAACTGACACAAATTTAACGTGACAATGAAAAGTTATGTATGGACTTTAGGGTTTTCATGACGAAATTCAACTATGATTCAAGAATAAATTTTACATAGGAATCTGATTAGTTCATATATTTTGCTTCTGGCGCCTTCATATTTTTATGGGAAATCCATCCACCCATATGTCTAGAAAGCAACTTATATTGTAGTTGGTGTCGGTCAGTGAATAAAAGTCCCAAACCTAACTAGGAATAGTATAGGTACAATTATAAATCTGTTCGGGTCAGTATAGGGGTTGGAGATGGATAATCTATATCCATTAGGACGGGTATGTCGTTGTTTTCTTCATTTTCAAAAAGTGACATAAAGGGGTCAACTGGTTTATTGATTACATGACTTCGGCTTACAGTTTGCAATATTGTTGCTTACTTTCCCATATATTATTCATTTATAAAATCCGTTTTCTAATTGAATAAAAACGTTTAGAACTCGCTGTGGTTATCTTGAGCTCGTCCCTAAATTAAATTTTTACTATAAACCTTATTCAACCTACTAGTTTCGACTGACAGAGTGTCTTTGTCAGATGTTTTGCTATTAGTAATTGTTGACAACTATTATTAAACGCAAGTGTATTCTATGTATTTACTGAGTTTTCGGGTGGCTTCTCCCATTGTTTTCTGTTCCAGATTCTTTTGGATATATTGCTCTCCATAATTCCTTAGCATACGACGTACTTTCTGGTTAGACGCAAATCTACCAAAGGCTGAACGTTAAAACTTCATTTTTTACCAAATTAACATGTGGTTCACCAAACTTAAAAGTTTAAACCCTGTTTTGATATCCCAAGCCTTTCGGAGTTCTACCAAAGCACATACTTTCGACATAGCCATTGTTGGAGGCGGGATTGTGGGTTTAGCAACGGCTCGTGAACTAACACTTCGGTTTCCAAAATTTCGGTTTGCCCTTCTGGAAAAAGAAGAAGAATTGGCGATGCATCAATCTGGCCATAACAGTGGTGTTATTCATGCAGGTATTTACTACACTCCTGGCTCTCTAAAAGCTAAGCTATGCGTTGAAGGTTTGAAGAAGTCGTATGAATATTTTGAAGCAAACAATGTGCCTTACAAGAAATGTGGGAAATTAATCGTTGCAGTTGATGAACTTGAGCTTCCGCGTCTAGAAAAGCTGTACAGTTTTGCCCAGCAAAACGGTGTGCCCAATGTTTCTTACATTTCAGGTGATAAGATAAGAGAAATCGAACCTAACTGTGTTGGTTTAAAAGCAATTCATTCTCCTGAAACAGGTATAGTTGATTGGAGAACAGTAACTTTATCATATGCCAAAAATTTCGTTGCGTCTGGTGGGATTATTTATAATTCCTTTAAGGTAGGCGAAATTTCAGAAACGAGTGAAAATGTGGATTACCCTGTTTTGATCAAGAACGTTAATAGTGGATCAAACAGTTCAGCTCATATTTCACAAATCACATGCAAGTATGTGATTACTTGTACAGGATTGCAATCTGACCGTGTTGCTAAGATGTCTGGGTGTTCTCCAAATCCTGTCATCATACCGTTTCGAGGTGATTATTTAGTTTTGAAATCTGAAAATTCCTCTTTAATAAATGGAAATGTATATCCTGTTCCTGATCCCCGTTTCCCGTTCTTGGGTGTCCACTTCACTCCACGTTTGGATGGATCCGTTTTGCTTGGTCCAAATGCTATCCTATCATTAAATCGGGAAGGTTATGGACGTTTCGATGTTAACTTCAAAGACTGCTTTGATCTCGCATCTGACCCTGGACTTCGGAAACTCATTTTCCGTTATTTACGTTTTGGTGTGAATGAAATAATTGATGGTTTATTTATTAATCGCCAGGTCAAGCGGCTTAAAATGTATGTACCTAGCTTAAGTGTTAAAGATGTCTCCAGAGGTCCATCTGGAATAAGAGCCCAAGCGATTGACTCAGATGGAACGTTAGTGGATGACTTTGTAATTCATTTTGGCGATGGCAAGATTGGTAAAAGAATTATGCATGTACGTAATGCACCATCGCCAGCCGCAACAGCCTCTCTGGCTATTGGTTGTGTGCTGGCCGATAAAGCACAAGAGTGCTTTGATTTACCTCTTAGCGAATCAAGAAGTTTTGTTTAGTGTCATGTGCACGTTCCTTGATGCAAATTTTGCCACTTCTGTTTTAATTTCTATTACCTAAAAGAACAAATGGCTCTTGTTTCCTGATCATTTACTTTAATTTTGCGTCTGTTGTCTTCTCAGGGAAATTGAACATTACTAAATTATTTGTGGTTACTTTAATAATAATTCTCTCTCCTTTAAAGTATCTGGTCTGTATTATTACAAATGATCAAAAATTACAATAATTTAGATTACGAAGTAACAATTTTCATTTACCTTACTATATATTGTTCAGTTGATCTGTTAGTTCAACATTGTATCGAACTGTGTTATTTTGTTGTAATTACTAGATATATGATACGGTATCGTAAACAATTATAGGTACGCTTGTAGTCGATAATTAATCTTAGTACAGAACTGTTCCTGTAAATCATTTTGTTTATTTGCGACCCTATTTTTTGTACGTATAATATAGCCGACCAACCCAACACATCACATGTTTGCAAATGAGTGTTATTATGAAAAGTATGCATATTTACAATCACTTGAAAAATGACCACTTATGTATTGAACATTAGTTACATGGTGTGGTCTTACGCTTTCCTTGTGATAATTCCGAAGTATTTGTATGGTATTTATTTAATAAACAGTGATGTGAAGAATTATACTTGTTTATGCAGATAGCAGTTTATAACCTTCCCATTCTCATTTTAGCTATTTTAGTTTCAAACAAAAGAATATAATTTAAGATAACTACACACATTCGTTACTGGGTAGTAACCAACATAATTTATTACTGCTAAATTTCCGTCTATCAAGTTGCAGTACCGCTACTCCATATATTAGACTTTAATCCCATTAGAAGCTTAATTCTCTTATTAAGTTTGCAGATATACCTTACTGAATAATCCCTACCAGTAAGAAACATAGCTTCGAGTTTTTTCCCTCACTCGACTTTATTAACAGCAACACTGAGCCATTTAGTCTACTGTTCTCATTACAAGTTGTTCAAAAAATCCAACAGCAATCAAAACCAGACAAAAATGACATAAGTTACTATATACTGCAGTGCAAGGTCGTGTATGGAGGACAGCTGACAGATGCATTCCAAGTAAGGACCGGAGTCAGACAAGGCTGTTCACTCTTCCCCTTCCTCTTTCTTCTGGTGGTCGACTGGATTATGAAGACCTCAACATCTGAAGAAAAAAACGGCATACAATGTACAGCTCAGAATCAATTAGACGATTTGGACTTCTCAGATGACCTAGCCCTCCTATCACGTACACACGAACAGATGCAGATAAAGACAGCCAATGTAGCAGCAGTCTCTGCATCAGTAGGTCTCGGTATACACAAAGGGAAAACGAAGGTCCTCAAATTCAAAGCGGAGAACAGCAATCCAATCACTCTTGATGGCCAAACTCTGGAAGATGTAGACTTCCTCACATACCTGGGAAGCATAATCGATGAACAAGTAGGCTCAGATGCAGACGTAAAGGCAAGAATTGACAAAGCAAGGACAGCATTCCTACAGTTGAAGAACATATGGAACTCAAAACAACTTTCAACCAATATCAAAGTGAGAATCTTCAATACGAACGTCAAGGCAGTTCTACTGTATGGAGCTGAAACTTAGAGAACTACAACAACCACCACCAAGAAGATACAAGTACTTATAAATGGTCGTCTACGCAAGATACTCAACATCCATTGGCCGGATACCATCAGCAACAGCCTTCTCTGGTAGAGAACAAACAAGCTTCCAGCTGAAGAAATTACGAAAAAACGATGGAAATAGATAGGACATATATTACGCAAATCATCAAACTACATCACGAGGCAAGCTCTAACTTGGAATACTAAAGGGAAACAGAAAAGAGGAAAACCAAAGAACACATAACGTCGGGAAATAGAAGCAGATATGAAAAGGAAGAATAACAACTGTAAGGAGCTGGAAAGGATTGCCCAGGATAGTGTTGGATGGAGAATGTTGGTGAGCGGCTTATGCTTCTTCACGAGGAGTAACAGGCGTAAGTAAGTACTATATACTGACAACTTATTATATTCGGCTTTTCGCAGTGTACACGTACACGTTAGCATATAGTTCATTAAAAGTTCGTCTACGACATCCCGACCTTTTGAGTCAATAATGAAAATAATATGGTCAAAGTATACATATTTTTTGTTGTTTTTTGAGCCATAGTTCCGTCGTACCCCTATTGTATCGTGTTTTACGTTAGTCATTGTTTACCTTTCCATATACTTTAATTAATTTGTTTCAATAATCAAACAAAACTCATGAGGTGTAACTCAGATTTCCATACTAACCAAGCCCCGCTATGGACCTAATATTTGTCGTTCATTTTATCCAGATACACTACGAAAAGTTGTTAGGCTAACAGATAAAAAGCTGGACTAAATTTGTTAATTTTTCATTACCGTCAGTGATGATTCTCGAAGCCAGCCCTATTAAAGTAGTGCTTTCCAAACAGTCCAGCTGTAACAATAATGTAGAAATAGAAGTACATTGAAAATGGAAACAATGACCCGAATTAGAATCTGCTAGATACTCCGATCACTAGTTTGAATAGCTAAAAGGCCATATCGATAAAAATTTCTAAATACTATTATATTGACGTGGGAAATAAATTCCTCATTGTTCTTTTTTGGCTTTTTGTATCACAAATCTGCGATGTGGAGAGAGGCGAACCACTACGAACGGATCACTTTAGGAAATGAAACATTTCTTTGTTATTTATCGTATGGGAAAGTGGAAAATTTCGGGAGATAAATTCATAAGATGAATATGAAACGAAGACCATCAAATTTCATCGAAAAGATACATAATCAGTGGAAAATATCTTTTTAAACATAAATAATGAACCGAACTAAATTTTTGCTTGGGAAGAATTGTATTGAGCAGTAATCCAATGTCTCGTACTTTATAATACTGCGTCAGACTACACTTGAAAATTCATGTAGATTGGTAGACGTATAGTTATTGACACCATTAACACCTTTCCTCCCTTGCTATTTTCTAATGAAATGAGTGTTTTCGACGTTTGTTGTTTGTAATTCCTCTCAAGTATTGCTTCTGTTTATCCTATTTCCCGTTCTCTATGTATCCTATAAGTTAGTGTCAAATTTAACTTTCATAGTCTGTCGTAACAGCCTCGATTTGTGAAATACCTGCAAAGCTTAAGGCGACTGTATTTTGTGAAAAGCATTTAAGTTGTTGAAAATATGTGCATGTGAAAAAGACGTACTGTATTGAACGAACATTCATGTAGTAAGGACGAATTTGTTTTTTAGTGCACAATTACACCGTGGTTCAGTAAATTGTAAAGATTATATGTTAAATACGTCATTTTCACAACTCAACTGTCGTTTACATCCATTAAGATTCCTCTCATTCTATTCTCTTCAGTTCAACCTACTCCACTTTTGAATGGCGTTACATGCTGGTTACATCTGTCAATATAAGTAGCGTACACCACAATACTAGCAAATTGTACACTGTCTTATTGGAAATCTAATTTAGCTTGTATGGTACAATATATTTATAGGGCTTGGAAGGGACCTCTCAAACGACAAGTGTTATAGATATATCCTAGGGTTAATATGGACTGAGATTTATTTGCAACAATGACTGGAAGTCTATCAGGTAGTTATCGTTGTAGATTTTTTCTACTTTATGACTCATTTCTGATGTGTACTTAACCTATTGGTTACATGTATCGTTGGATTAATTATGTCATGGGTTTTCGTGTGATGTAGTATTTGTGCAACGGAGTTGTTATTCAGCACGATATCAAAAGAACAGTCGATAATCAATTGTCCCTGATGGCAGAATGAACCAACTTTTGGTGTGAAAAAACTAATAAATACTACTTGATGCAGCCACACCCAGCCCAAATGCGATACGGTGAAAAACAAGTAAGCTTTCATGTAATCAGTTCGATGGCACCATATTTTAGTTATTAACTCTGTGATCGGTGTAATGATGCACTTTTTTTCGTTAGAACCTTATTCAGCTTACGATGTGTCCGTATACCATAAAAACATCCTTATTTCCCAGAAAACGCATCTAGTTTTATATACTGCACTTCGTTCCATAACTATTTTTGGAGTGTAAATTTTTGCATTCGGAGTTGGACGTCAGGGACTTCATGCACCAATGCGATAGAAAATCAAGATTAGCATTAGGTCAGCACATATAAGCGAACAATATGTTTTTCAGTAAAATGTCAGACAATACTATGTCTCCTACATGTGTTGATCTGGTTTATGAAATAGCTTCTAACATTGTGTTATCTACATTAATCTTGTTGGGTTATGCTATTTAACGTTGAATTCTGTTAACGTATTCAATAATGCGGAAATGATTTTCTTGTATATACAGAGATAGCGTCCCTTAGAAAATCACTACAATTCTGGAACTAATGTGCAGCTCGTTTGACCCAGTTTAGAACTTCCCACTTATAGTGTAGTTAACGAGAACATAAGTCGGGACAATCGGATGTATTTGAATACAAAATTACGGAACATCTTAGTAAAATCTGAGAACCATGTAGTAAATACTTCATGTGCAAAATATTGATCAATTGTCTCAAACTCAACCTTTCCTGTTGCAAATACCAGTTAATCGTTTCAGACTTCATTGTTCTTTTGTCTCCACACCGGTCATTTTCTGTTCTCGTTCTCTTTCCTTTGATCTTAACCTTCTTCCGCCAGATATTTCATTTTCGATTGGTGATACATAATACTTACGTATGTGCACATCAGTAGCACGCCACAATAGAACATTGATGCAAGAACAATACCATTGATTAGTTACTGAATTGGAATCCAATGATTCAAGTGGTGAACTTCAGTGTCATCCATTGACCACATATTCTTAACCGACTTGATATGATTCCATCGGTTACTCATAACTAACCTTGGAAGCAACTTAAAATTGTTATTGATTAACAAATATTATGCAGCAATTAATATATACTTTCACATAATTATTAATA